TTCCACACCTAATTTTTGCACAGATTGTCTCATTTCTGTAGGCACGAATCCCAATTTTATCCTTACTTCAGTAGTTAATATTCCCTTTATCATCACCTTGCACAAGTTTTTAAATAATCTTTGCTTGTTCGCAAGCACCACTGACGAATATTAAGTGTCAACAGTTTGTGTTCATTTAGCCCAACCAGGACTTACTAAAGTTGAGGTGGTTCATTATTTTTTATCAGTTTTAGTTTAACTTACTTAAATTCTAAGCAAAAGTGTGAGCTCACATGAGATACTTGGGTGTCACCTGGACAGAATAAGAAGAGCCCACTTTTCGGTGTTTTCATTTAAATCTATTCTACACATTCCAGGTGGAAAAGAAACACACGGCTCACTGGTCATTTAGTGGTAAACACTCAGAATTCAGTGAGACATAATGAAAATTCTGCCTATTTTCATGTAATGTAATTTTCCCACAAGTCAACTAGTTGCGGCTCWGTAAGATGCCATCTAAAATGCAATTTTGGCAAAAACTATTACTAAGCTCTTACTGAGCTGAAAGAGGGGAAGTGAAATGCATCCATATACATTCTCTTTTTTATATTAGTAAATACAAAACAATAATTTTAATACTTTAGTTCTGCATTTGGGATTGATAAAGACAAGTATAATTGATTTTAAAGTCTTGTTTAATTGTTTTCAACAACAGAGCAAATATTCCCATCCTGCTCTGCTCTCATCAAATGAAGACAAGTTGATAAAAACAACAAACGTCTTTAGTATAGTATTAGTATAACATCACAACATTTAATCCAGTTTAACAGAACAAAAACAGGTTGTTCTGCTGAAGATATTGGTGTCTAAATGGGCTTGGACTGATCTTTGATGTCTCACAGCAAACATTTTGGAAGTGAGGGCGCAGAGTTGTTGCCAGCAGGCAGGCAGGCAGAGACGAATAGCTCATCTGACCCCCCACCGTAATCCTCTTTAATAAACCCTGCTGTCGACTGGCTGTGAGCAGTCACAGTGTTAAATAAGCAGAGACACTTTCTAACACAAACATACCCTGTGTATTTTTACTTAACWCTGTCACAGGTTAAAACGGGAACGGATTTTAGACTTCTTGTTGGTTGAAATGATTTATTTTCAAAAAAAAAAAGTTTAATTTTTCTTCTTAGCTTTACTTTRTACTTGCCAGCCAGTAGTTTTGACAAATGCTTATGAAAATCATGACAGAAGWAATCCTTTTAAAAAGTGATATTTATTCGGCTGATGTTTGGCTTGTTGTGTCTTTGGAGGAGGAATCATCCAGTTCAAAGGCTTACCATCTGTTTCCAGCTTCCTGACTCTAAACACCAAAATGTCCTCAAGAAAGACACTGAAATGGACATTGTCCTGATTAATTATTTGGGGTATGAGGAGGTCTCTGTAAGAGACCAAAATGATGTTTGAATATTTGTTTGAATAAGTAAATGATGCTATTCTAAACCACAAAACTTTGACCAAAAAGAGAACATATTGGTGCAGCAGGGGTGAGGGTGTAGGGGGAGACATATTGTTTTATGACTTTTTCCCCTGTGAACCAAATACTGTATAATAAATGTAGTTGAACGTTGAGATGTATATAAACTTAACACAAAAAGACAGGAAATTTGTGTTTGGTAGATTATTCCTTTGCAATAAATCCTTTGAAAAGCCTGCTAATTTCCCTTTTAAATGGTGCCACATTTGTAAGGAACATGCAATTGTGGGATAAGCAGTGATACTGATAAGAAAAATGTTTGCTTATTTGGCTATTATTGATACTTGCTTTGAGCTTCTGGTACCCACAAGTGCAGCCAGTAAGATGTCAATTGTAATATTTAATCCCAAGAAGCATTGTTACAACAAAGAAATAATCAACTAAACAGTAATTTCCTCACTTTTTTATAGAAAACCTCACCAATTTTAGATAAAGCAAAAAAACGATTTTGCTACAATTTAAATAAAATTTCTGATGCAGGAGCTATCGGTCGACAGAAATTCCCAGCTCAGAAATATGGCTGACAGAAATTGAGCAGCAGTTTAGGGCTGTGTGTGTGACAGCTTTATGGCGCCACATTCAAAGCCTGTGGAGCTTAAATTGGGTTATAAGCCTGAAAGGAGATCTTCTGCAGCTGCAGAGGAGAGGAGGTGCACAGTGTGCAGCTTTTTCACTCACATATTCTTGTTAAATTTACTGCACGACTTTCCCCAGACAGTATCAATATTCCACAGAGTAAACAAGTCTTTTGGGCATTCATCATTCGCTTGGCAGCACCGCGGAGCAAAGTCCCTGCTTTTGATTGAGGGGATAAGGTGAAGGAAACAGTCCGAAGCAGGACCGGGCTTTGACACCTTGGATAATGGACAGGATTTTGCTGGGATGAGCTCCGAAGACTTATTTTTATCCAAAGTTATACTAAAGATTAGACAATTTACAAGAGATAAAGAAAAAAGAAATTGCCAGCTGAGGTTTAGACATGAAAATTTTGGTGAATTTGGGAAACTATTTGATCACAAATATACACAGAATTTTTATTATCTATTTTCAATGAATGCACCGAGTTAAATCTCGCAGTAACCATGAATATTATGTAAAAACAACCTGGTTTAGAGGAACCAGTTGACATAACTTGGTTAAGTAAATTCAACACTTCATTTTTTAGAGTTCATAAACAGCTCCTTTCATGGMTTCTGGTCATATTTAAATGTGTAGCGTGTAACAATTAATTAAATCTTAAAGTCAAGTAAAAGCTTCAACTTTATATATTTAATGTAATGAAACAAAAGTGGAAGTTACAATTTAAAATAAAGTAAATGTACTTCATTACTGTACACCTCCCTGCTCTATTATCTCTATGATGTCATTTGTGTCTTTAGTTAGGGAAAAACTGTTTTCTTCAACAGGASCCAATTTATGTGAGAATATTTCCTTCACACAAACTTTCATATTTAGGGTTCTACTGAATGCAAAAACCCTGAACTTGCATTGTTTTATGCTGAATGATGAAAAGACAACTATTTTCTCAAATTTCATGTTGAAAAGTACAGATTTGAAGTGAAAATGAAGTGACAAGAATCCTTCCAAATTTAGAGTGTACAATTTGCTAAATGACCTCCTTTTCCTGCACTCACATTATTTCTACCTGACCTTTTTTAGTACATATTTTCAAAAGTCAGACCACTTGTCTTACATAARTTTAACATTGTTTTTACATTCAGAAATTCTGGTTCTTTTCTGTCATTTTTAAAGGCAACAATTATTCATCCTTTGCTCAAGACACCTAATTTAGATCTCTTATCTTTGAGTAACTATTGACCAAGCTGGCTTCTCTATTTAATTTTTTTGGTTAAAGTAATTGCTCCACAATTGCTATCATTTATGACTGACAACAGTTTTTCTTATCACCTTTTACTCTGATTTAAGAGCTCTTCATAACGCAGAAGCCATGCTTTTTAAATTTAATAATGGCCTACTGCTGAGCAMCGACAGAAGGAATGACTCAGTTTTGGTTCTTCTAGATTTAAGTGCTGCTGATTGCAACGTTTAAAGTCACAGGRCAGAATTAAGGGCTCTGCTCTGAATTAATTTTGTTCATATTGCTGAAACAGAATCTTTAATATCTGTCAAAACAATGTCCTTAACAGCTCAGATGATTTGTGGTGTACCTCAAGGATCTGTCCTTGGCCATTATTTTTTTCTTTATTAACCTGCTTCTGGTTGTCTGGATTAGGCATAATGAGGATTATCTTTTCTATGCAGATGATGATCTACTGTACATGTTTATAAATTTTAGATTCCAGCAGCCTTGCCAATCTTATGATTTGTCTTATAGGGAGCAACATTCTAACCTCAATTTTGATGCTCAAGTAAAAAAAATACACTGTCCAACTAAAGACAATTTCAAAAATCAGGTCTTTTTTTCTATCTGCTGACTTAAACCAGTTATACACACTCGCATGACTACTACTAACAGAAACTGACACATTCAACTTTTATTTTATTGCATCAGTAACTTGAAACCTTGAAAGATGTTTCAAACAGAACAACAAGGGAAAAAAAACTCTGTGACAAAACAAAATTCTTAAAGTCGACTCAAAAGAAACAAAAGATGAAAATCTGTTTAAATTGAACACTTGACTGAAAACTGAACACTTGACTGACATCATCAAAAGTCAAGGTTGATGATGACTGCTTCTGAATCCCAAACAAAAGTTAATGCACAAACACCGCTGAGTCATGTCTGAGTCATGGTTACAACTAGGATCATGATGAATGACTGTTGTTGGATTCATTATATACTGAGTGTAGCATTACAAAGACATTCTGTGTTTATACAACTATCAAAAATCTGTGTAAGTGACTCATGGCTACTTTTGAATATTGAATGTACTTGTTTTTAGGCTGGTCACTCTAAAGAGGGTTGCTATACAAGTTGGGAAAGTTGAGATGCTTACATCGTTTCATATCTGACTATATATCAACAATCACATATTACTCAACAAGGTATCAATGTTAATCAGTTGGAAATAAGTTTAAAGGGATTTAAAGTGACAGAAAGCAGCTTAGTGCAACCTACTACTACTTTTTGCAAAGCGCTTGCTTTTTACTGAGTTACTTGAAGTATATTTGGGTAAGGATTTGGGTACTTCTGGCAAAATGTTTTGCTTCTGTAAATAACTGTTTAGACAAAAAGCAGCCGCTCACTTGATCTAAGCACAACTCACAATCAACATCATCACAATCAACTAAAGGTTTTGCAGCAGATTTACATACTTTTTTTACATACGTTTGAGAGATGAACTTTCAGTAATAATGGCAAAGAAAACATTGTTTTACTTTTATGTGCTACAATAAGTGACGTTAGTCATTTTACTAAAAACTAAAAAAAAAAAGACTTATGAGTGACTTATTTCTTATGTTGACCAATTCAAGGATTAAACTCCTAATCTGTCTCAATGCCAGAATGAATAAAAAAAACAACAACACTCACACGGAATTTTGTTCAGCTCATTCATGAACTTGTTCTTCAGCTCGGAAAAGGCTTCCTCTTTCTCACCCTTGCCTGGTCCAGCCATGCTTGTGGTGTTGGAGCCCGCCGTGGACGAGAAGGCAGTGGTGGGTGCGGGGGCCGCTGCCGCCAGTGCTTCCCTTCTGCCATCACTCATGGTGGTGGTGCTGGGCAGCCAGGCAGTTGTTGGACAAGTAGGAGGGGGGAAAAAAAAGAACAAAACAAAAAAGAATTAAAAACCCAGGTGAAGCAGACAGAGTTAGATTTATTTGTGTGTTTTCAGCCCCTGTGACAGATGCATGTCCGAGGCAGAGAGCTTGCCTCGTCTGATGACTGAGCTGACGAGGACTGTGTGAGCAGCTGCTGGCTCAGCCTGAGTAAACATCAGCTGAGGTCCAGAGTAAATTGGCCAGCACTCTGAATTCAAAACAAAGCTGCTAACTCACCGACAAAACTCAATATTAACATCACTGAACAGCAATAAAGTGATTATTACTGCCATACAACATGAGCCATGCACCACAGGCTTAATTATTCTGTGCTTTCACAAATAACAGAATGTTGCAGGACGCCACACAAAACCCTTCGTGCACACACCAGGTGTGTTTACATTCAGGTCTGGCTGCAAAGGAAACAATGTGACCCATATGTTAACTAATGTTTGTTTTTTATTTTCCTTTCGAGTGTGTGCGAGTCCTCACGCAGGTCTGTTTGAGCTCTGTTGTGCCTGGTTTGTGTTTTACAGGTAATCACAACATTCATTGTGGAACAGAAAGTTTCCACACACCTGCAGGGTAATAACAGATGGTTTAATACGGCACAACTGAAAGTTCTATAGCCCAAGACCATACTTGACCAGATCAGAAAGACAGCCAATCAAAGAGAACGTGTTCACACCTGACAAAGAACGCTGAAACAGAAACACAGAGACGAGGCGCAGCTGAAAGTGCTGCAGCTGTTTAGATCTGAAAGTTGCAAGAACAGAAAAAAAAACATGTTCAAGTCTCACATTAAAACACTCACATTTCTTTCCTGTCTCTACAGAATGTCTAATTGACAACTAGATTTAGACATGTGCAAAGCTTTTGTTTTAGACCAGSTTTAAATTGGTTTTAGACCAAAAAACATTAAATCAGGGTTATTCAACTGCTGGCCAGTAACTTCCATCTGGCCCYCCAATGAGCCCGCTCCCCTATAAAAAATATTAATGAATTTGTTTTACTTAATTGAGTATAAAATGTATTTTAGATTAATGGTAACTTTTTAAATAAAAGAAATAATGCCAAAAATAATAAAAATACAAGGTAAGACATCATAATAATTGTTCTTTAGTGCAGTGTTGCATTTACTATTATCAGGTAACCACTCCCAGATGTATGGCACCCCGAGCAGTTTTGATTAACTGTGGCCATTTAAGCAGTTTAGTTGAATAGCCCTGTTCTACGTTATTTTGACTTTTCAGACCTCAAAATACACACAGGGTTTGGATTTGTGTGCTGAGAAACTAACAATCACAATAAGAAAGAAATGTTCAGCAACTGAAGCAGAAACATTCTGCATAAATGTTAATGGTTGAAATAATTGCTACATGTTTGGGCCTATACTGCACTCAAACCATCACATCTCCAACTAAACTAATACATTTTTCTTCAAATATCAAAAAATCAAATTAAAAGTGAAATAATTTAAAGGGTATAAATGGAACATGGCAGTTGCTGCATCACCACAACCACTTTGTAACTGCAGARGTGAACTTTTTATTGTGTACCCTTTGCTGTGCAGGATGTAATTTGCTCTGTCACTATAGCAATTCAAGAGGATAATGGCCTGCTAAAGGAAACCAGTACACACTGAAGATTGATGACCTAATTTACTTTGCTGCCACAGTCTGTGCTCACTAAACTCACATTTTCCCCATTTATTTCATTATTACAAAGGAAAAACATGACACTGGCTGTGATTCAAAGACAGCTAAACAATTTTGTTTCGTTCCGTTATTTGGAAATCTTAATCTAACCTCCCGAACTGACAAAAAAAAAATGTTTTATTTTTAAGATTCAAAAAGCTGAAAATAACAGGTTATTGCTTATATTTTTAATAATCCTTAAAAAAGTGAAAAGCGACACTTCAGAGAGATGAAGTTGCATTTTTTTTTCATGAAATGAACAATATTAGGCTAAATAAAAGCACAGCAAGGCAGTTTCAACTTTAATTGTTGTACGGTACTGACATTTTATAACTTGAAAGCTAAAGTGGACACCTAATTTGGGCAAATGTGTGCTGCCATTTTCTATAATCTTGAAAAACTATTAGAAAGAGTCGTATTTTTACAGCTGCCACTGTCTCTATACAACTGACAAAGCTAGCACCACAGACAGCAGCTGTTTGATCTCTACATCAAACACACTAATTTAAAGCTGAATAATAGTCCATGATAAGCAATTACTTGATCAAAAATGTAATTGTAGTAGTCAAATAAATAAAAGGGGAAAAAAAGACTTTCCAAGGACAATTTCAACAACTGTTTTAAAGTAAACCCCCGCAAACATAAAACACACATTTGGTGAGTCTTCAGCACTAAATCTCACAAAGTTATTATCTAAATTGATCTGTTGTTAGTTTAACCACAAAAGAACTCAGAACATTTGCTCCGACTGAAAGAAAAACATGTTTTTTCATGAATAACAAATAGGTCATAACGGAGCAGAATTTGATGACATGTCTGTCAGCACATTGAAAGTTCAAACAAAGTGGATCAAAGTTAATCTTATTCCTAGTAAACACAAGATTAAAGCATCATTTTTATCCTCCTATGTCACCATGTGAWAATTTATTTATAAGGTTCAAATAAAAACATAAATCTACAAATTTAGACTGATGTGTACCTGCAGGATAGCTAAAGCCTGTAAAAAAGGTCTGAAAACTTAATTATCTGCACAAGTAATATAACCGAGCAGTAATTTATTGTAGAGTACCAAACRTTTTCTTTTGCCAATTAATTTTGTTAAGGATTCTGAAATCTTTGCAGGTACATATCTTGAAATCTAATGATAGGTCTGCTAATTAGGGCTGTTTGTAAGAATTTGGTGATGATACATGTCACAATACAGTGGTCACGATACATTGTGATATATCAAGATTTATTGCGATACTGTAGGCAAGGTGATATATTTCCATTTTTATGTAATCAAGAACATTGAACAACAGAGAACTGTATTTGTATTTCCCATTTCTTCTCACATCCATTCATTCTGCCTTATTTAAAACTTGATATGTTGCTATTGAGAACCGATGCAGGAAATTAAATATTGCGCTATTTCAGTGTATCAATATTTTCTACACTCCTACTCCTAATAAGTTTAGTTTCCTACAATATTTACGCAGCTGACTATATATATAATTTTTTGTTTAAATTATTTTTTGCAGTTCTTCTTTTGATCTGTGCTGCAGTTTAACGTCTGTTAATAGCCATAGTYGTAAATATGATCATTTTGCAAACATTATGAATCTAAAACTTGAAAATTCAAGACATAATTTAGTTGATGTGTGCAAAACTATTCAGCCACATTAAAACACGTGTTTAAATCTACTGGTTTGATTCAACAAAGTTTGGCTTGGCGCTGAATGTGAACACAAGCGAATGCAGTGCCAACACAAGGTGGTGATCACAATCATTGAAGCTGCTTCTCAACTCTGAGAAAGCTTCAAGCCATCGCAATCTCCAGCTGTGATTTTAACACTAGGCTAACACTCCTTTCACAGCAGGTTTCACCATAATCACCAGATATTTTTACAATATGTTGTGTTGAAGGCAAGTGCAAAAATTAAAAAAGAAAAAGAAAAAAAATGCGTTAAATAAAACATAACCTGTGATCAAAGACYACGATCCAACAAAAGCAATCCAATTTCAGGTAATGAGCTTCAAGCAGCCATCTTTTACCTTGGGCCACTCAACCTCCCTCAAAAACCTACGCATGTCCATGTCAGCTCAACCTCCCTTTGGTCTCCCTTTGAAACTGTTGCAAGGTTAGTGTGGGGGCTGATCTATTGAGAGGCTCGCTTGGCAGTGACAGAGATACTTTAACACAGGCGAGGACTTTCAGTGAGCACAATGATGCTCGGCAAAGTGCATGTGGGAGGCTTCTTTTAAAGAAAAAAAAGAAAAAGAATTGATCATCTTCTGTGTGATGTGCGTAAACATGGAGAGATGGAGTGAGCTTTTACCAAGTAAGCCTGTTTCTGATGTAGGAGAAATTAACATTTCTTCTTCTACTATGTATATCTACAGTATGTGTCTAATGCAAAGGGAGCTCCATTTTAAAAAGACAGTAAATTGGATTTGTCAAACAGTAATTTCAACATTTTTAAAGCAAATTAGAGTCTTCAAATGAAATTCAGACAGCAGAACTGTATAAGACCAAGCAGCTATTAGACTGAACATCTCTGTCATCTCTGCTAATGTGTGGAAATTTGGGGTAACAATTCTAAAACATTACATTCACTTTTTTATTCTCCAGAAAAAAAATCAGTTTGTACCATTCACAATGCATTACATGGATCTTTATACAATTTATTCTTATAGCTCAAAATACTGAAATTTCCAGATCTGGTAAAATTCCAAACACTTCAAAGTTTGTACAGAGTCAAACAAAATTTGCCTCAAAATATTCAGAATTATATCTGTTTTTTGTAAAGGAAGTTACAATTCAAGGGGTTCAAAATTGTAAATGTGTCTATTATTCTATTAGTGGTTGTATTAATAAGGAATTTGATTAGTAAAAAATGATAATGGTGAAGAGGTGGGATTAAATAGAGCAGGGGTGCCCAACCAGTCGCTCGRGGGTGACTGGTCGCCTGCGAGCTCGTTCCCAGGTGCCCGCGAAGCGCAACTTGCTCTAACAGCTGACGAGAGCTGTTGTCAGCTGTTAGAGCAAAGTTGAGCTCCGGTCGGGAGCTCGCTGAGCTTCATTCTAACTCCGGCAGAAGCGGTGGAGGTGGGAGGAGGAGAGCGGAGGGAGCGCGTTCAGGAATGTAAACTCCTCCCGCCTCCCACCTCCACCACTTTGCATGTGAATCGGCAGCTCCTGCCACTCAAAACGCGTTCGGTGTGAACGTACCATAAAACTSCACAGCATCGATTTTCACACCAGATGTAAGGCTAATGTAG